ACAACCTTTGGCCTACAAATCTGTCTCCATTCTCTGTAATGATGGTTTATTTTTATTTCAGGAGATTGGTTTGGGCTCCTATTCCGTTTGTAGAAGGTGTGTCCACAAAGCAACAGGTCAAGAGTATGCAGTCAAGATTGTAGAAAAATGCAAGCGGGACATCCAAGAAGAGATAGAAATTTTACTGCGTTACGGACACCATCCGAACATCATCACACTAAGAGATGTAAGAAAACTCCACAAGTATATTTTCATTTTAATCACCATAATTTCCAAAAATGAGATGCTATTGTTGTGTTGTAGAATATTAAATGTATTTTAGTTGTTTCTCTATTTTTTTTATGTTGGGACATTTATTCTAAATGCAAAATATGTTATTAAGTATATATGTGTATTGAAATTAAAATCATATAGATGGTTTTTTTTTTGCACTTTTATTTCATCTTCAAACATTAAACAAGACTAAAAAGGTAAAGAAACCAAAATAAATATTGGCTATATACAAAAGGACTATTAGCATTCCAAAAGTACTTTACCAGCTAAATAATGTAAACATCAACTGTGTGGCGCAGTGTGTAAGGCGTTCAGCTTTTAGTCAGTAGGTTGGGGGTTTGAAACCGAGACTCGTCACACTGATTGTGTCCTTGGGCAAGACACTTTATCTGCATTTACCTAGTTTGAGTTGAACGATCGGAATGAAATTAGTAGTGCTAATTACACACTTCACTAGGAATACTGCCTAGGTAGTGGAGGGGGTTGCACATTGTGTACAATTGATTCTGTCTCAAATGACCAGGGGAAAAAAGTGCCTTGAGCAGTCCTTCTATAATTGGATATGTGTACTATGTAAATCTTATAATAATGATAATAATAATCATAAGCACTTAAGCGAAATATCTTTTGTGTTATTTTATCATTAGCGTCATGTTATTTTCCCCTTAACATCGTTTTTTAATTGTTTTCTAATTTCTCCCCTTAAGTAGGTTTTAGTAACATAGTAATAATAATAATAATAATAATAATAATAATAATGATAATAATATTGATAATAATAGTAATGACAATAATATTGATAATAATAATAATAATAATAATAATATTTATAATAATAATATTTATAATAATAATATTTATAATAATAATAATAATAATAATAATAATAATGATGATGATAATAAGTTGCAACAAAGCAAGTTCTGGTAATCCATCATTATTTGTAGAAATAACAGTGTGCCTGATTTTGTAAATGTTTTGATTATCTTATTGTTATGTTGTTTCTCTTTGAATAGGTTTATGATGATGGTAACAAAGTGTACATGGTCATGGAACTGATGAAAGGTGGGGAACTGCTCGACAAAATCCTACGACAGAAATTCCTCTCAGAACGGGAAGCATGTGAAATAATGTTAACAGTAACAAAAACTGTTGATTACCTCCATCAACAGAGGGTATGTTTTTATTTACAATCACTTTATTTGGAAACCAAAATAAAGGAAATTGTTTAAAAGGCCAAGGTTGTGTACCAGGATGTAGAATCATTTCCTGGATCTATTTTATTGATAAACTCCCTCCGGTAGCATCAGATCGATTGAGACAGATTCACAGCTATCAAATTTGCCACAAAGTATAATAACAAATATAAAATTAAATACCTATGTTGGTTTGTAGTTCCCTGGGTACATGTCATGAATGTCCTTGAATATGGCCAAATTTTATGCACAACTGATTCCAGTAAACAAATAATTATACTCCAATCAAACGAATATGAACAAATAAATGTAAACGAAAATTACTAGGGAAAAAGTACTAGTAAGAAAGTGTTTGTAAATCAAGTAAAATAATAGGAGTATATGAGTTGTGAATATGTTTATCGTAATTATTGGTTTATTGTTTTTGTTTGCTATTGTAATTACTATGTGCTAATACATGGTAGTAACTTAAACATTTATAATGTTCATAATTCTATGTATATTGTGTATTAATAAATATTAATAATGATATTTCTTTAAATAATGATAAATGATATGGTGATTCATACTATTATTGTGATAAAAAATAGTTGAGATATTTATTAACACTAGAACACAGCACATTTATCTAAAGAAATGTACTATGTTTTGTAAGCTTGTGTTAATAAATATTTCAAGTATTCTTTAAAGTGCTTCTTTTGCTTTATTAACTGTTTCTTTCAATAATGTATGAAGACATTTATGAGACTGTAGAAATTAAGTAGATTGGAGAGCAACGCAATACTTGCTGATACTTTAATGTACATGACTTGTCAATTATTTATCAGGTTGTCCACAGAGATCTGAAACCTAGTAACATACTTTATGCTAATGAAGATTATAGTCCAAACAGTATCAGAATCGCAGACTTCGGGTTTGCGAAACAGATGCGGGCCGAGAACGGGCTGCTAATGACTCCCTGTTACACCGCAAACTTCGTTGCCCCAGAGGTAAGAAATATAGGCTTATTATTTATCATGGAAAATTCACCTATGTGTGGCAAAGACAAGGCAAATTAGTCACTCTTCACAAATCATGTTTAGGAGATAATGGCAAAAACAAACTTTCAAAATCTATTTTGTTGCACTAAACTAACCCTTATATATCTATAAATCATGCTATGTTGTTATTTTCCCCATTTTTGACATTAAAACAACATTTTTTTAATGATTTGGTGGTGGTCTCTGTCTGAGAATTCCCCAAAATTGTAAACTTTGAAGGCAGTTTTCTCATTCTATTATTTCAACAACTGTATATTTAAACCTCTGTAACTTCACAACAAAATATCAGATTTAATTGATTCTTTCACCATTTTATAACTTTCATTTTAATATTTAACCCCTATTAATAACTAAAATTCAACTTTTACTAGGAGTGACTGGTTTGGCTTGTCTTTGCCACATGTATTTAGGCATGTGTTTGTGTTTTATTATAGATTTGTGAACCTGCTGCCTGCTGATAGAGCTTTTGCAAAAATGAAAATTTGAAAAACTTAATTTTTTTTAAAATCAAAATTGCTATTTCCACATGACCTCAACCCTCTAGCTATGTTGTGTTCGATTAAGATATCTCCAACTATAGCAATTGGAATGAATGTCTTGTTCCTATTCATATTTTAACTAAGTGTTAACATCATTTATTTGTACACGTTGTTCTTTTTTTTTGGTTTTTTTCTAGGTTTTGAAGAGGCAAGGTTATGATGCAGCTTGTGATGTGTGGAGTTTGGGAGTATTACTTTACACAATGTTAGGAGGGTAAGTAAAACCACTACAAATGTGACCGACCGATGGAAATTGGTTGAGTATTAGCAAAATTATGAATATTTGGTTGGATATTTAGCCATGTAGGTTTTGAGAAAACAGGATTCCTAAATCAATTAAGATTTGTATTTTTAAAATAATTTTAATATACTTTTCACTTAGATTCAGTGATTGGTATTTTGCAGAAATGTTCTTCAATATATCTTCTTTTATAAAATGCAAACACATGAAAATATTTAAAATTCCGATTCTCAAACGTTTTGGGTGTTTGTGGGAAATTTGAAATTGCGACAAACGACTGGTTTTCACAAGTATGTCAGTTTGATTTTATTTAACTGTGTAATTCCAGAATTTGTTGCTAATATTATTAACACAGCCTTAAAAGCTAAACAAGCAAACATTAGTTTTAGAAGTGGGGTTGGAGTTGCTGTTAGATGTGGTTTTCGACAAAAAGAAATAAGAAGTTGTCCTTTATATTGGAAAACAAGCTTTTAATATCATTCAAATTTTCTAACAACTACATGAGAAAACAAATAGAATATTCATAATAATATTTGTCATGTTTTGTTTTATTTTAGGAGAACACCCTTTGCTCATGGACCAGATGATACACCAGAGAGCATCCTTGCCCGGATTGGGGAAGGCCAGTTTAACATGGACAGAGGAAATTGGGACTATGTCTCAGCTAATGCAAAGGTAATGTGCAGCATTATTTCAAATCAGGTACCTGGAAATATTTCTATTCCTTTACAATTTCTTACTTCTCGTAACATTGTTAACAAACGTTTTATGAGGTGTTGTTTTAACTTCAATAGGGGCTTTGTAACTGTTTTTATTGCTAATGTTATTGATGTTGGTTGTTATTTTTAATTATTATTATGTTCCACCCCTGGATCTGCCACTGGCTCAAGAGCATACAGGGAGGATTATTACCAACCATAAAATAATAACAAATATACAAAGAATTAGAAGTGAAGTAATTGGTAGCTGTTAATAAAGTAATTATATTAAAACAACTTTTAATGGTTTATCTTATAGGAACTTGTTCAAATGATGCTGCACGTTGATCCGTATCGGAGGCCAAGCACAGCACAAGTTCTCAAACACAGATGGTTCCACGATCGTGAATCCATTCCAAGCAATAAACTCACGGCTCAAGACCCAGCAACGATCAAAGCTGCCATGGCAGCGACATACTCTGCCCTCAACCGAGCACCAAAGATGGAGCCACTAGAACCCGTAACAGCGTCCATGCTGGCGCAGCGCCGAAAAATTAAAAAACTGAGTTCAACAACGCTCTGAGATTTCCTGAGTAAGACGAAGTTGATAAAAATAAAGGTGCCGAATAAAAAAGTATTGATTCTATTAAGTATAATGTCAATAATACGCAAGTTTGGGATGGTAAGAGAAAACGGTGACTGACATAAAAAGTAAAGGAAAGGTGAAGTTTAGGATGAGCTGAACTAGGGGCAAAGGCAGCATATAATTGTAGAACTTGAACATGTGCTTATTCTGAATTAGTAAGATAATTTGAATCTTCAGTAAGCTGGTTATGATTATAATAATAATAATATCTTAAAAATTATTATTATAATAATTACCCAAAGTCTATATTTCAATCAAAATTCATAGAAAGATGGTTGCTTATTCAAAAAAACAGTCCTTTTTTTTCTCTAAAGCAAGATTTTTGTGTTTAAATATTCATAATTACTTGGTTGGAAGAATCATAGCCACCAAGATGTTGCTCTCCAGGCGATTAGTGATATGAAGAAACTTTTGTCTATTAATTTAAACAAAGACAAAGAAAGTAATGCTTTTAGATCTTACCTCTCATCATTTGCTTTTAATTACATAATCATTTTTATGCACATCAAGAAATATATGATAATCGAATACATCAATGTTATATACAGGTATTTCTCTTTAAAATTTGTTTTTAAAATGTGAGTATGATTTTAGCTTTAAGTAATGGATGCATATTAGGTGATAGAAATGAGGTAAAGTTTTCTCATTTGTACTGTGTAACAGCCAAATTATTGATATGAATGTTCGACCATAGCAACACGAAGTAGTTACATGATATTAATACTCCTACAATTGAAATATATTCATGTTCCTTAGCTTGCCAAACATAAAAAGTTCTTATAACGCTTTATTTATTTATTTATTTTTTTGTTTTTGTGTGTGTCCTAAAAAAACGATTTGAATTCCCTGCTTTAATGATTTAAAATCATGAAATCCTTGAATCCAGATGTATTCCAAGTAATGAAATGAATCCTTCATTATCAACATTGTCATCATCAAAATAAATTATCTTCACAAATTTAAAGAGACTGCAACAGTTTTCTGTCCCTTGCAACTCATTGTCAAGTGTGTTTGCTGCCAACTCAGGGTGAAATTTACAAAAAGTCTTCCTTTAAGAACTGTTATATACCATCTACGTTATAGTTGTCCATGAGTAAAATGGAACTTAAGAAAAGCCAGGCCAAATGATGGTAGTAGATAAATCATTGTTTAATCGATGTTTGTTATTCAGTTAGATTTTTTTTGTATAATTAAATTATTGTCTTCGTAAAATTGCAAAAAAATAAGATATTTTCGACATATGTTTGAAATTTACACTTCAATATAGAGATATGTTTGTGTAGTGTTATTATTACAGGTATCCACTAAGTTAAATATGGACCCAAATTTGGAGCATTATGCAAATTTATTTTATATGTAGGCAATGAATGAAATGTTCTGTTTTGAATAAATACTTTATTCAATTTGTTATGTATACATAGATGACCATGGTTATTCTGGAGGTGGACCAACCAATGTTAAAACTTGACACTTGGTAAACTGTGTAGTTTTTTGCAATACTAAAGTTCTAAAACCATACATTACCTTAATAGATAATTCAAGATGGAAATGTCTTATATTAAAATATCTACTAAGAATCTACTGTAAAGCTGATGAGAAAATACTGAAAAAATATACACATATGTTCTTTGTATTCAAATCAATGTAAAACACATGTTTAAGTGTGTGGGGGAGGGGTGTGGAGGGGGGTTGGTATTTGGAATCTACAATCTACCAAAATGTTAGTTACATAACCAGTAGTAATGTTACAACTTCAGTGAATGTTCTTGCTAGCAACTTTGGTGCATTCTTCCAACTTATAATACATTAACAAATTTACACAGTGCATTCCACTTGGAAGAATGGTACCATTAACATGTTACTAGCCAGGTCCTGTCATTTATTAATATATACAGGAGGCTTGTTTGTCATTTCTTCGGAATTAAGTCCTATTTACAATTATCATGGTTTGAGAGAAAAATAATGTTTATATATTCTTAATGGAAAGGTTAATCTGTATCTAATTTAATATTATGAAGTCCAATAAAATATTTTTTGAATATTTACTAATACATGCATATTTTTTGAGTGGGGGTGAATTATCTACTGGTAGTAGAGTAACTGCTTATTTTTGTCTTAAATTCACTAGCTTTGGATATATTCTAGATCACATAGTATAGTTGATCACATTCTTGGGACAGTGTAAATAAGTTTATGATCTAGCTTGTGTGTATTTTGTACATGTGTGTGTGTGTGAGGGTGTGTGTGTGTGTGTGTGTGTATGACTGTAAGAAATTTTCTTTGCATTTTTTGTCAAATTATTGACTTGAAATATTGAAAAAAAAATATATACAAGTACATTATTGAAATTGGATTTCTTTAGAATTTAGATTTTCACAATTATAGAAGTGCCAATTGGTTAAGTCACAAACTGGAAAATGTTTGAAGAGAATGGTGGTAGGGATTTACTTCTTCAGATTTTATAATTCTCCTTTGCAATTTGTTCATTCACCAATGCTTCATAATTTTATAATGGATCCCTTCTCTGACCAAATCTTGTAATAACCAAAATTTTATTGATTTATTTTTTATATTTTATGTTGTTCAAAACTTACTGATTACATCTGATTGAAGCCTTTGGTGTTTCTTCAGTCAAATCTGGAGACTTTCTGATTTTATCAAGGACTATGCAGTGTAACGGTGGTGTTTAAACACTGTAGTGACAATTTAGCAAATTTATGGAAACCATCTTATGTCTACGTCAGATAAAGTCCTGCTGTAAGAACAAAAGTGGAATCCCTACCACTGAAGGAGACATTTTGGCAATTCTCTATCGTATATTTAAACATGAATCTGTGTTTTGGCAGGACAGCACATTTGCACAGTTTTATTATTGCGAAATTTGTTTAGCTTTAAAAAGTTACATTAAACTCACTGAATTTCAATATTAATACACTGTTCAACACCGAATATCACTGCTGTATTTCATGAAAGACAATTGATATTAAAATCAATGGTAAACTTACATTTATTCCATGATTGAATCATGAGCTATATGTGGTCGAGTTTTGCGTACGTATGTTTTTGTACACTCTATAAAGAGTGTTTGTATCATGTATATGTTAATACTATCGATAAGCCTTCAAATTCTATTTTGTCACAGTTTGTATACAATTTCTCTAAGAAAGAGAACTTTTTGAAAAAAAAAAATTAAGAAAATATGTCTTTAGCTGTTAGTTATTAAGCAAATGCCACTACTGATATGTATATAGTGCCCGACAGGCAAGGGTAGACACTTAATAGAGAGAACGTTTAAAGAAGAGAATTAAACACTAGGCCTGAATATCATGTTTGCGATTTTTTCTTTATAGTAATTATGCCTAAATTTATATAAAGATGCTAAATAATGTTGAAGAATTTGTTTAAAATTCTGCGTGTACTTGGTCATAACTATTAGTTTTCCATTGTGTCGAGAAAGTAAAGTCAACAGGGCGTATCCAGGCATTTAATAAGTGGGTGCAGAGCTAGGCATTGCGTTTTGCAAAACTAATCATTTTGTTGCATTTTTAATCATTTTTAGATAGTAATCTGATTGCTTCACTGTACATCCTACCTCCCCTCACCCATACAACCTACCTCCCCTCACACCTACAACCTACCTCTCTTCACTTATATAACCTACCTCCCCCTTCACCCACCGCCGCTTTACCCCATCGTATTTTCCAGTCTCTTGCTGGTTGCTTAAGTCCACTGCATGACCACTTACATCACAGTATAAATAGCGTATCCATGACTAGCCTCTGTCCTTACTTCATTATCCCATTGTCTCTTTTGATCATTAAATATATACTGTACTGAAAAAATAAGTTCAAAATTTAAATTTATTACTTTGCATATTAAATCAAATCACAGTATTAAAAAATATTTCTTAGTAAAATAACGCACATATATAAATAATATGTTCCTCTATTCCTTTGCAGTTACCCATAAATTTGTAGTAAAACGTCTTTAAAATCAGTAAAAACCGAATTGCTATAATCTGTATTTCATTTAAAGGTATTTAATACATTTATATGATCAATTCTATGCTCTATTTCACAGCAGATGAATCATTAAACCATACTTGAAAATGAACACACAACCAAAAATTATACTGTAATAATCTGGTACAGTAATAGGTTCTATAAGAAAGGTTGATGGGAAACTTCCATTTTTCTGACTGAAAAAATAGATTTTAAATTTTACTGAGCTGTAAGTACACCCTCCCCATACTGTTCCCTATGTTTTGAAAATCCTTGCTCCTGCATTTGCTCAAATCCTGGATACGCGCCTGATTGTATGAATAGTAATTAAGCAGTGTAACATATTATTGGCTCAACCTCAGGGCATTGTCTAAGAGCGGCTTAATATTTTTATTTTACAAACAGTAATAAATAGCAAAAATATTCTTTCATTGAAACGAAACATAGCTGATGGAAACAAGTAAATAAGCCTGATACAGGCATACTTCATTTGCATGGTTTTATTGTCACCTTATCTGAACTATAATTACACTTTCCAGCATGATTGAAATTCTGTTGTGTAGACATATTCATATTGGAACTTATTAAACGATCCACGAAAGCGTCCAGGTCGTCAGGTCTGGACAACAAATACCAATAAAGCCATTTGATACGTACAGTTTGCTTCGCTATTTGATTCTTTTTCTTTGTAGTTTTCATTATTTAATCAATCAATCTTTATCTTCCATCATGAATAAAAACAAATTAAGATGAAATACAACAAAGGCAAGGCCTGACAATGTTTTGTATTACCTTAACAAAAAGACAATCATGATGCAGTAGAAGGATATTAAAAAGCATTTAGCGGCTTGATGACTAGTTGCGTATCTTGATGGATGCGATAATTCCACTACTACTCATGTTAATGCTTCTGTCTGTTGCTGTTGCTTTCATGAGTGTTTCCCGACGCCCGAGTTCTCGTCGGGGGAAAATAAACGCCACTTCAATTTTTAGCTTTTTGTCGGGGAAACTTTTTCCATCTTGATTACATTCTCCGAGGAAATGCTTCACTAATTCTGGATATGTTTTTACTTTTTCGTCACATAATTTTTCCCCCAAATTCTACGGTGTTTCCAGCAGATGCCAGCAGACGCCGACGCTCTCCTGAGGAGTTATAATACAGGCCCGTAGCCAGGTTCTTCCAAGGGGTGGGGGAAGGGGGGTTTCTGGGCGTGAGATCCACGGTCGAAGCCCCGATGAGTCGGTGAAACCCCCAAAGCAAGAGGATTTTTGTGCTTTATGGGTCTAAATAATGCTATAAAAGCAGATAAGTTTGAAAATGTCTGTGTCTGGGTGGGTCTGCAGTGCATTAGTTGGGTTGGAGGACGTATTTGGGAAATTTAAAGAGGGGGTTTCGCCAGAAAAGAGGGGGTTTGCAGAAAAGGGGGGTTCTCCCGAACCATAAAAAAAAACCCCTGGATACGAATTTACATTGCATACTCTTTGTTTCTTGGTTACATTGCATACTCTTTGTTTCTTGTTTCATTCAAAATGTTTTGGTTTTGGAAGCTGATTTCAATATTAGAAAGCATAGTCTACTGAAGTCATATAGTAGGCACTAACTCGCGATGCCTATCAAATAAGTAATAAAAATTCGCCATAATTCATAAAATTTCCGTGGCTTGGGCCCCCATCGGGGCCCTAGGCGGCCCTCTGGCCCCACCCAAGTGAAAATCGATTCGCTCCACTAGCCCCCCTCCCCTCCCGGTCGGTGCCTTTAGCCCCTCCGTCGGGCAGGTCCTGGCGCCATCACTGTTTCCCGATTAATACTACTGAGATATATGGACAGCTGGGCTGGACTTCCGACGGTTGGACACTACCATTGCATCGGGGGATGTCTCAACATTCGGCCCCACTTGCCCAGCGGCTTGTCAAAGGGGTGAAGTCGCCGATTAGGATTAGTGGTCCCGGCCCAGGGGCCAAAAATTATATTGATCGAGAGCGCCACCTATGATTTCAGATGATGGTTTGCATTCGTGTCATCATCGATCTGCAATGGCTGCCTCCGCTATTCGTTTCGCGTGGTGCCTTGTTTTTCTTCAACTTCTGGCTGCAACGTTGGCTGAAGAAGCCTGCAATGTTTATGGTGACGGACATGTGTATCCGGGGGAGTCTAAGAAAGATGCAAAGCATGCAGTTCATTGGAGCAAAACTCAAAGTAATTATCCTAGGCCTAGCTAGGCCGGTTCCTTTTCGCTGAAGTTTTTTTTCGCTGGGCCTTATTTGTTCGCTTTAAAACGGCCACCATGCACCTAGCCTAGGCAGTAGCTAGATCAACGTCTGACACTCCTCATAATTAACATGTCATTCTCACATTGGCGTTGTAGTATGCATACATCGCCGTATTTACTAGAAATAGGATAGTGGCATAAACAGTTAATAAATATTTAAATAATAAATACCATGCTGTTTTATTAATTGCGTGGAAGATACCTAAAAAATTAGCTCAAATATAGGTGCTCAGGAATATAGGTGCACAGAATCGTAATGACTCATACTGAGAATTATGTGTATTGTATAGAAAGCCTAAGGAAGGGCAAACAGTGCACCACCTTGGTTATATATGGTGAGTGTCCCAAGCTGTTGGCAACCCTATTTTCTTTATCATTACCAAATTGTGTACAGTACCGATTTACATTACACCGATTGAACACATTTAAAAACTGAATATAACATTACTTTTCATTTTACTACTCAACATTCAATTCAATTTTTACTGTTGTTGTTTTATGTCACAGATATTGGATGTTTTTAATAAAGATACCGAAATATATATTTTTTTCAAAATGCTTAATTTCAGTTTCGAAACCAGCACCTTATTTTGAAGGTACAGCAGTGATTGATGGAGAATTCAAAGAACTTAAGTTGTCTGACTTCAAAGGAAAATATCTGATTCTTTTGTTCTATCCATTGGATTTGTAAGTTCCTTTGATTTCCTGTTGATCATTTTGGGGACCTCAGTTCTCTTGAATATAAAATTATATCTCAGAGAAAAGCAATAAAATTCTGATTTTAACCATCACCTTGTAATTTTATAATGAATTTTAAAGTTTATTGTATTTTTAATGAATGTTACAATGTTTATCCAATATTTTATTTATTATATTGTTTTTGAACTTTACCGTAATGAAGCTTTTACTTACTTGGATTCTTAATGTATTGTATATATTTTTATGTATTGTTTTTCTTTCGAGGGCCTCTTCAAGTCAGCTGTACTACTGTAGTGCAGCTGTTAGAGCTACCCTCGTAAAATAAAGTTGAAATAAAATAAAAAAATTAAAAAATATCAGTCAGGCCCATTAAAGTATTGCTATCATCCTCGTTGTAGAATAGATCACCTTCCCTGATTGGCTATTCTAATTGATGTAATCTTAAAATAGACCAGCCACCATTAAATAAGCCAAACTATTTGGTAAATTGTACATGTGATACTTTGAAGAATTTCATCTAGTCTTTAGTTGAATTAATATACAGTAATTGGTTCTTTAATATAAACAGCTGGAGATGAAGCTTAACTTGTACATTCCAGTCACTTGATAATGGTAGCTGTTAGCAACTTAAACTGTCATTAAGTTTCAAAACTCTTTAGTCTATAATATTAAAGAACCAATTACAGTATATTAATTGGTACTCAAATTTTTATAATACTAGAGAATTTTTAATTGATATTTATCACATTTTTAAACGATTCTATGTTATGTACAAAAAATATCTTAGAATTAATTTTTTGACAATAAAGTTGACTTGTATCTTGTACATGTGATGAATGAAAATTTCACCAAAGATCCATGTACCATTGTTTTTGCAGTAAAAGTTCCAAAAAATAAAAGAATTACAATGTTTGTTTTCTATGTTAACAGTACCTTTGTCTGCCCGACAGAAATAATTGCTTTCAGCGATCGTATCAATGATTTCAAAGCAATTAATACCGACGTTGTTGCTATATCTGTTGATTCACCGTTTACTCATCTAGCTTGGTAAGTGTGCATTCATGATTGTTGCTGCTGCTGCTGCTGTCCTTGCTGTTGCTGCTGCTGTCATTGCTGCTGTTGTTGTTGCTGCTGCTGTCATTGCTGTTGTTTTTGTTGTTGCTGCTGCTTTTGCCGTTAATATTGCTGCTACTGTGCTGCTGCTATATCTGCCGTTGTTTGCTGCTATTTCTGCAGCTATTACCGTTGCTACATTTATTGCTGTTGTTGATGCTGTTTTTGTTTGCTGTTGTTCACTGCTATTGGTACTTTTGTTGTTGTTGCTGCTGTTACTTCTGCTGTTGTTATGTTATTCTATTGCTCTTGTTGCTTCTGCTGCTATCGTTGCTACTATTTTTTTTTTTTTTTTAACTTTTGATTTTTATTATATTGTTTTATTGTTATTGTTAATTGTTTCCTGTTGGTGTTGTTTATTGTTGCTGCTATTATCAGAACTAGTGTGACATTGTTGTGGAAAATGTATGTAAATGATTTAACTTTTAATGCAGGATAAACACTGACAGAAAACAAGGAGGACTGGGCAAAATGCAGATCCCTCTACTGTCCGACTTAACTCATCAGATATCAAAGGATTATGGAGTTTATCTTGAGGATTTAGGACATACGCTGAGGTGAGAATCAATAAAGATTTCAGCATATTCAAAGGTACATTATTAATAATACAATTCCAAATTGGCTGGTAATATATTTAAGGATTTGCATTGTAAAAACAGTTTGTAAATCAACAAATAAGTGAATTGTTTTGATCTGTCTCATTTGCATCATAATTCCCCTTTTCTTCATCGTTATTTTTATTAACATCATCATCATCTTTATCATCATCATCTACATAAACATCATATCAGTATCATCTTCATTATGATGATGATGAAGATAATATGCAAATATTGACTCCTCATGAGGGGGATTGTGAAATCTGTTGCTCCGAGGCGCTATAGATTTCACCGTTCCCCAAAACTAGAGCAGTCAATTGTTTTATGTGACTTCATACATAGATTTTACAAGGCCTAAAAAAGTAATGAAACGAGTACCCACCAAAGGCCAATCTCTCTCGTCGTAGAGGTTGCAGTCCCCTTTTACTATTAATTTATTTTGTAGTACACAATTTTATTAATACATAATATATTTTGTACTACACAATTTTATTAATAAATAATATAAACTGCTCTTAACTGTGTGTTTAAATTAAATTAATGAACACTTACCAATATGATGTTTTTTTTTCTCTTGGGATTGATATGTAGAGGTTTATTCATAATTGATGAAGATGGAGTACTACGACAAATTACAATGAATGATTTACCAGTTGGTCGATCAGTTGAGGAAACCATTCGTCTAGTGCAAGCTTTCCGGTACACAGACAAGCACGGTGAGGTGTGTCCAGCGGGCTGGAAGCCAGGCAGTGACACAGTAAGTAATGTTCTCAGTTGAAACTTTTTGTTAAAAATGTACTATATTGATGGGTGTTTAATTTTAATTTTATTTTAATTAATTTCAAAAAATTATAATACTATAGCTCACATTAATCACACTGCGATGTGAGTGTCGCAAGACAGAGACCGGCGCTATATAAGTGCCGACATTTCATGTCCATTTATTTCTTTTGCAGATCATTCCGAACCCGTCCGACAAACTGAAGTACTTTTCCAATCAAGATAACAGCAGATAATAACTTTTTATATTTGCTTAAAGTCAGGCTCCGGAGGAAAACAATTTTTTTATATGTTGTAGAACTGATTTTTCTAAGACAGAAAAAAGTTGTTTGACGAAAAACTGGGGAATGGTGAATGAGATACAGAATTTTTAATATTTAAAAACTGGGGGGAAAAGGGGCGTAACTGCCCATTTTTACACCTTATTCCCCCAGTTTTTAAATATTAAAAAATCTATAACTCATTCACCGTTCCCCACTTTTTCGTCAAACAACTTTTTTCTGTCTTAGAAAAATCAGTTCTACAACATATCAAAACATTTTTTTTCCTCCGGAGCCTGACTTTAAATATTATTATTGAACTTAATCACCTTTTTTTGGGCCAAATACAGTAGTAAAAAAGATTTTCATTCTTGCCTATTTTTTTTTTTTTTTTCGAGCTTTCACAAGGCAAAAATTTAATCATTATAGCAAGCAGTAAGCATTTGTGGATGCTCAGGCCTGGCATAGGTTTAGCTATGTGACTGTGGCCCATTCTTTTAAAGGAGAAATAATTAAAATGGGGCCTTATCCTCCTTTTTTTAAAAATCTGGATAATTTGTTCGAGTGGTTGGCAAGCTCTCACCATGTGTGTTGAATCCTCGCTGAAAATATCACTTTGCGTCATTGGACAAACCTCTTAACCTAGTTTGCGTCTCTTCTTCCCAAAGTATAAATCGGTACCTGTAGAATGTTATGGCATTGAAGGTGACCAAGTACTGTCTCACGGCTAGGTATACTTTTTCAGGGTGCAGAGAACATTGTACTTAGTGCTAGTTTGCAAGGAAATGTATCTAAGAATGTTCATGGGCATTTGGTCATTATTGATTAGGAATTAGTGTCATGTACTGTAATTTCAAGATATTGTTAAAAAAATTTTTATTTGGCCTTAAAATATTTCCTGTCTTTTTTTCTTGTAGAATTTGTTGTTGACCAAAGTAATGGGTGTTTGTAGTATGTTGAATTTATTGCAACTAATATTTATGCTGTTTAACTTTTTTTCAATGAATTGGACTTCTTCTATTTTCAAGTACTGTACGTTGTTAATCGTGGAACCTTTTTTGCCTTTAACATAAGCAAAGATATATTGGACTCGACAGGAGATTATATTGCTGTTACCTTTATTTATTAAAAAGAATGATGCACTGTATGATGAATTCACCTTTCTTCTACCATTCCATAAATTTTAAAATCTCAAATTTATTGATATTATCACACAATTTTAACATGAGTTTTTAAAATTTCTGATGTTCTATCATTGCTTAATATTATGGAAGTGTATTTTTTAAATTTATTATTCACTCCCAATTCCAATCACTAATCAAGAAACAAGGTAATTTATTCATTGTGCACCTTATAGAAATGAGCATGAAGTAATTTATCTTTGTGTCAGTAACTCAACAACAAAGCAGATATCTGATTAAAAATACAAGAAACATACCATGTGATTTATTGTTATCTTTTTTACACATCGTTTGTAGTTTATTATCTTAAATAATTACTTACTACTAAGTGGATGATTCATTTCTTTTGAATTCTGATTTAATTAGGTAATTACTTAATTTTTTGCATTCCAAGTTAGATTAAATTTCACTGTAAACAGTACACAGTGTGTTTTGCATTCTGTTTTCATTCTGTGCAGTACACTATAATAATGTGTAAATAATTACAATGGCAGATTCAAGGGAGGAAGGGGATATGCAGAAAAAGGAAAATTTTAATAAAATTAAGTGCCATTTCCGGCCATCTAGAGGTCCCAAAATCATAAATTTTCATACGTCAGTCCGACCATGGTGGGGCTGAGGTGGTCTAGACCCTCTGTCTGTGAAAGTCCTTTCCTGGTCCCCTTTTATTTCGAATTCCACTGCATCACAAACAAAATTGTATTTCAATCTTCAAAAAAAAACAAAAAAAAACGAGCTTCATGAAAGGAATTTTCAAGTAAAAGCACTGGAACACGAATGTTTCGAATGTAAATGATTTTATAAAGAAAACATTGTGGTCATATTCACATGGGAGGGACAAACAAAAATGATTTATTGTTGTCATCATCATCAAAATCTCTAAACAAAGTGATTAATCATTTAGATATTAGATTTAATTTAAAACTTCCACGTTGGAGCTTCCAGAGAGCTAGAATTTGTGTGTGTATTCAAAGTACGTATTAAGTTCTGAAAAACACTGAAGGGTAATTGCAGATATATGAAATGTAATGAAAAGATTGAAAGCTATAAGAAAAAGAGAATGTCAATTAAGCTCACTTAACAATTTTCCGTTATAAACGTCGCAGTTTTGTGTTAAAAACTTTTTTTTTGTAGAACTATGCAATACCGTAGCTAACTGTTGGGACAGTCCCACACATTTTTTTCTATTGGGTCCACAAAGAATTTTTTTTAAATTGGTCTAAATTATGCTGTTTTATGCACAAAATGAATTCACTTTTTGAAAAATAGGTCCAGATTCGGTGGCGGCGCTAGGATTTCCACGACGGTGGGCCAAGGTTTTTTTTGTTTTTTTTTTGGGCGTGGTGGGATGTCCCTCAAAATCTTTTGAAAGTGGTCCAGGGGGAGAATCCCCCAAAAATTATGACAATTTAAGGGTTTCAAAGGCTCATTTTTTTTCTCTCCAACGAATTGTGGGTGTATCCCCAGCACCGCTACTGTCCAGAATTCTCAAATGTTGCGTATAATGGCGTAATGGTCCAGATTTTTCATATTTTTTACATAAGATGTGTCAACTTTTAAGAAAACGTGTCCACATTATTTGAATTTACGCAAAGTGGGTCCACTCTGATATTGTCCTGCACTGTTTGAAAATTGTTGCTACGTCATTGATATTATATATATTATTGATATATATATATATATATATATATATATATATATATTATAATTATATTGATTGATTGATTGATTGTCATTGATTGATTGATTGCCTACGTATTTTTTAACTAAACATCTGACCTCGATAAACGTTACACACGTTGCGGCGACGTCGTGTCAACGGTATATTTTTTGACTAACCTAACCACAATGTTAGAGGAAATTATTTCAATGGTTGTAATCACTTTTTTTGTGTTTACTGGGGAGGTATTCTTTTCGTTTTCAGTACAGTAACACGAACATTATCAACTTTTTGCAGTTTCTTTTAATAGTGATATCATGGTCTCAAGCTGATTATGCTTCCTTGTTTAATTTATCCTGCCATTGATTGTTCAATAATAGCAGGACATTGTCATAGTAGTGAAATAAGATACGTTTTCACACAAGGGCGATTTGATAACGATTTATCGTATATAACAAAATATTTTGATAAATAATTCAAATGACGTCATAATACGAAAAAATATTTGTTTTTATTGTTTACACAATAAATCGTTATCGAACCGTCCTAGTGTAAAAACTTCTCTTAGGCCTATTTCTTTTATTTTCTGTATGAACAATTGCCTTTTAGATTTTTATCGTTATCGTTGGAAGTATAAACAGGCCTTAATACTGTATATAGTGAAAACACAATTTCATGACTAAATCGATGTATTTCATTTCATTTAATTTATTCGCCTCATCAAAAAGGACAGGCAAAAAGGAGGCTGGCTTCTTCCCAAAAAGAGATACAGACTACTGTCGAATGGGTCGCCAAACGTTATGTATCCAACTGACCTAGCAATAAATACAGAGCAATATGAAAAAAAGAAGACACACATACCGCAAATCCTCGGATTGAAGCACTGGGCTGCTTCTTACAAAAAAACTTTGGGTCGGCCCCTTTTCGAAATGGGCTTCTTTTCGAGGTTACCTGCAAAAAAGGGTTTTTTTTGCAAAACCGTACCGTATAAGACTATACAGGCCTACTGATGACATTTAACCATTTGCAATTCTGTTTAATACAGGTACTACTTAAAAATTCAAAAAAAGTTAAAAAAAAAAAAAAAAAAAAGAATTTCAATTAGGCCTGATGATCAACACATGCCGAGGACAATATTTTGGACTAATCATATAAATTATATAATAAAAACAAGCGTTTGATATAATTTATTACCATAAAATAACAATATAACCCTATGTATACTTTATTAAACGTGTATACATTTGTATTAATTATTACAATAGAACCCCTCCTTTGGGACACTTTTTCGGCTGCGAAACGAGCGAAAGATCTGTTAACACACTCGGTCACTGCCCTATTAAGGGGACCACATTTTTGGTCCCTTATAGGGGTTCTACTGTATTAACAATTTTCGATCTTCTAATTAAATGAATTTATAGCCGGAATTAGCTTCAACATAGCCCTGTTAAAAATATACTGTACACCATCTGGATTAAACGGCCGTTCTACAATGAATGCATGCACGGAAATCCTTTTGACCAAACCCAGTAGTGTGAGTTAACCATGGCTACAATAAAAATAAAATACTATGATGATACTGACACGCTATCAGTCCGGGCTTGTTTTCGATATTACTTTTCTATTACTAAAGATGGAGGCTTATTTTCGATGGGGGCTTATTTGTCGTTGTGAGTCATTAAGGGGAACTTCAATAACAATCATCATCAACGTCATTATCATCGTCATACCATAATAAATTAATCATTATCACCATCATCATAATCCTGAGATAAAATTGAAAGCACAATGCACAATGTTAGCAGGGAGGAGGGATCATTCTTTTAATTATAATTTAATCATAATTAAATCCTATTTATAATTTATCATAATTAAATCCTATTTATAATTTATCATAATTAAATCCTGAGATATAATAAAAAGCACAATGCACAATGCTAGCAGGGAGGAGGGAGATACAAAAACCTCCCTGAGGCTAGCAGTTCCGCGATGGCACACGATGTCATGCTGGTTGCTATGACATGACGTAAGTATAAACAAAACAATCATGAACAAACGTTTAGAACGCCACCTAGTGTCGACTCTGAATCACACGCACGCAAATATAATGGAGGTTAGCTTTACTGTTTGTTGTTTTGATTTTTTTTTATACAAATGCAATCGGATTGATAGTGTTATGATAATTTTTTAACATTAGACCAAGGTAAGGTTTCGCATTATCAACTTACAATGTTGGAAAATGTAGTGGGATTGGTGAACATTTATTATTTAGAGAAAGCGGAGCTGCTCGTCGAGATTAGCTGACTTCCTTTCTTGCTTGCTTGCTTGTTCGTTGAGTTGGGTGGGGTAAGGCCTAGCCTAGGGCCCGCCTAGGCTGGCCTAGTTGATATCTTTCTGCCAACTAAAATAAATAGATGTAGGGCGTAGCCGTGGAGATAAGCTAGGGCCTAGACTTGCATGTTGTATATTATTTCAATGCGGTATTTTTGGCATGTCAAAAAGATGGTGCAAGGCCGGTGAAATACGGTTTCGCATCCGATCATAAAAGTAAATTACTACTAGGCCTAGGCCCTAGCCTAGTTATTTAATACTTACCATTGTTCAATACTAAGAAATTCCTTGATGATTTGACTTTCCAATAATCCACTTATTATCCAATAATTATGGTTTCTAATAAAGTTAATCATTAATTAAGACGGTTAACGTCTTCACGGTGCACCATTTTCATACCTTACCGGCTTGTTAGTACATGTCAACAACTTTGCGGTGTTGCCAGAATTAGGGCAAAATCATACCGTGATTGCCATAGGTGTGCACTGAGTTAAGCGTGAGTAGTGGAAATAGTATTAATGTCACTCAAAATGTTATTCTACTTTTCGCTTTTATTTTATCTGACTTGTGGCCGAGTTGGATCGACCCTAGCCTAGTTATTTAATACTTACCATTGTTCAATACTAATAAATTCCTTGATGATTTGACTTTCCAATAATCCACTTATTATCCAAAAATTATGGTTTCTAATAAAGTTAATCATTAATTAAGACGGTTAACGTCTTCACGGTGCACCATTTTCATACCTTACCGGCTTGTTAGTACATGTCAACAACTTTGCGGTGTTGCCAGAATTAGGGCAAAATCATACCGTGATTGCCATAGGTGTGCACTGAGTTAAGCGTGAGTAGTGGAAATAGTATTAATGTCACTCAAAATGTTATTCTACTTTTCGCTTTTATTTTATCCTCATCAAGAAAAATGCATTACAAAGAGACGAACTACAAAACAATCGAAGTTTCCAGAAATTCTAATGCAGCGCAATAATCGGTCACAAAATTACAGTTGGGTACAAATTATATGACTGACGCTGGAAACCTCAACTATGGTGCGGCGGAGCAGAGTTGATTGTGTTGAGCGATCAGGTGTTACTATCGATATACAGTACCGTCCTAATTATTGGTTAATTAACTTAATTAGAAATCATAATTGTGGAATAATAGTGGCTTATATAAAAGTCAAATCATCAAAGAACGTGTTAGTGTTGAGTAATTGTAAGTTATAAATAATTTGGTAACTGTTTTCAGGGCTGGATACAAAACCGTATTAGCGCCGCCTAGGCCCAGGTTTGTAAGTCATAGGTTTAAGTCATCAGAATCCTTGCATATGTTTACTAAGAGTAATGAATATGTCCATAGACTGACATATGGCTAGCCATATTTTAATATTACTAGTTGTTTGTAGGCGGCAGACGATTGTTGTAACTAAAGGTAGGCCTGTACTGTTGGTTGGTTTAATACTTTCTTGTGGTCACTGATTTTTAATAATTGTTATCATAAATAAATAGATAAGATTATATACTTTTATTTATTATTATTTTAACAGTATAAATTCATGGTTTTTTTGTTTTTTTTATAGAAAAATTGCAAACATGGAAGTAGAATCTCCGTCATCGCTTGATTATGGAAACAATCAATTCGTCAAGCAAGATTTTGATTGTCCATCAGAAGAAAATGAACATCTAATCAACTCAAATATTTCTTCAGGGGATAATTATATAGTTGATGAAATGACAAACCAAAGTTTAGATGCTGTTGAGGAGGCAGATAACAGCAACCAAAACCAGCTATCTGATGAAGAACTGCAGATCCTTGCAGAGCAGAAAGCTGTTGAAAGGGAACTACAACAGTTAAAAGAGGAGGGATTCCTACCAATGGAAGAACCACCAGAATATGATGTCAGGCAACGTATTGCACAACTAAATGCAGAACTTGCTGCAGAAGGAACTATTCCTGATAAAAAAAATCAGAGTGTTCAGTTTCGTGATGATCCTGTCACGGATATATTTCCGGTAACCTATTATGAGAACGAAGACTATGATTACGAAGAGGATGACCAAGTAGTTAATGATGATGATTCAATTGACCAAGAAGTTGCGAAGCTAACACTAAATGATTCAGATGAAAACAATGAAGGTAAGTCCCCTATCCATAGAGAACAGATGAAGAAACAAACTATCAGCTTCTCAGATGCTAAAGACAACAATTCGTCAGATGAACAGGTCAATAGGCAGTCGGAGGAAGACACAGTTGTTGTTGAAAGAGATGGAAAATTTGAGGTAGTTAATGCTGCTGATTTAACCACAGAAGAAAGAACGCTAATGGGGTTAGATCCAGTCAAAAAAACTGAATCTGCATTGCCCAATATAAACAACTCAGAGACGCATTCCAATTCTTTTCAACCAGAGAGGCCATCAACGGCCGGCACATATTCTGCACACAAACCTCACAAAAACCTGTCAAAACGTCGTGTCCAGTCTGCCCGTGCTGTGAATCAGAAAACTTTTTCTTCAGATAAACCAATTATTGTAACAAAATCAGATCCATTTAGGGATGGAACATTTTCAGAAGTCGGTAATGAAAAGAGTCGTTATGGTCTCACGCAGGAACAAAAAGAGCACCAGAGGCAGCAGGCACGATTGAAGAAAGAAAAATTACGAGAAAAAATGCAAGAGAAGGAGGAGGAAGAGAGGAAAAATAAAAGTGAACGTGATGAAGCATTTCAAGCTTGGGTCCAGCAGAAGCAGGAGAATAAGCAACAAAAGAGAAAAGAAGAAAGAAACAAGAGAAAGTCGGAATCAGACCCAAATAAGGTACTGTATTTAAAAAATAAATAAAAAGTGTTGTCTTCCATCTTTATAACAAGTACACCAGGGGTTCTCAACTATATCGCAATACGGGCCAAAATATTTCATTGAATAAATTTGAAGGGCCAGGGCAAAAGGTGTACTATGGCGCGTAGCAAGCCGGGGGAGGGTTTATTGAAATTTTTTTGAAAATAATAAACAGAAAAACAGAATGCAAAATAATTATTTAGGTTAGAAATCTAGGCCCAAGTCTAACAGAAAATATTATTTTCGGATTGTTCTCGTGGGCCACGTAACACGCACTCGCGGGCCGGAGATGGCCGCCAGTTGAGAACCCTTGAAGTATACCATTTAAGCTGTCTTTCACATTGTATAGTTTTATGTGACAAAAACTTATGTGATATGACATCCTCTTTCCCATATATGGTCAAATGACATTGTCACAGAAATATTGGTATTGTTGACAAAGTAACAGAATGAAGTATGAAAGACGCTCTATAAACTAAACGTCATTATGAAGTGACAATGGCCTCTTGAAGCTCAGGGTTTTAGTAATTATGTTATTTTCTACATTTTGTTGATTTTAGTACAGTATGTTCAATTGAGTTGTTCAGTAGTACTACAGTAGTATGAGGAGGATAATGCTACAATTTGACTTAGTCGGCATAAGTCAAATTGTTAGCTTTAGTAACTAATGATACAGTAATAATTAATCTTATATTGAGTATACACTTTTGTATCAGTGGCATCCACAGTTATTGTATTGCGATGCATTCAAAAGAGAAGTTACATTGGTGTATGTACATTAAAATACAGTAAAATACAAAGATTAAATTAAATAAAAACGTTAAAATACAGTAAAGGACAGTAAAAGAGACATTAAACATTGTATAAAACCATCGAACATGTCTCTGGAAATATTTAACAAATTTCAACATTATTGAAAATTAGTCAAAAAAGTTTATCATTGGCCAAAATTTGCCAATCTTGGTTTTTAGAGGCTATAAATAGCTGTTTTTTTGTGCGTCTGAAAGATTGTTTTTTTTAACAACTTATTCAACCTGATCAATTGTGGCATTACAGTATTTCAAATACTTTATTTACTTTGTAGCCTAACCCAGATGACGTATTCAAAAGTTGGCTTGAAGGGAAGAAACGACAATCTAATCTAGAAAGGCGGTACCACAAGCAACTTGAGCAGGAGAGCAAACAATGCCTGCAACAAAGGAGTCGTGCAGAATGCGAGAAGAGCTACAAAGCGTAAGTTGTTGATATGTTGAATTCTGGAGAGCGATGGGTCTCATGTGAGGCTTTGGAATCTGGGTTTTTAGTTATGAGAATTGATTTGAACCCAGGACCCTATGGTTGGAAGGCAAGCATCTTAACCACTAATCTACATCTCCATTACATGCATGTAATAGAATGACAGAGGGATGGGATATGATAATGTCACTAAGGGTTGGGTGGGATTATGTAGGGTAGTAAGATGGTGCAAAAGGGTAGTGTAGAAGCGGTTGGCGCATTTGTTGTGGCTTGGACTCCCAACCTCGAGGTCGGGGGTTCGAAACTCTCGCTGTGCAAATCGCTTGTGTCCTTGGGCAAGGCACTTTATCTACGGTTGCCTCTCTCCACCCAGGAGTACAAGTGGATACCTGGTAGGTTCCAACACAACTACGCTGATTACTAGCCGCAATATTATGGAATAATAATATAATTTAATTTAATAATTTAATTTTGGTGTTCAATGTGTTCCATATGTGTTTGATCTAATGACCGGGGTAGTAATGTGAAGCGCTTTGAGGCTTTAAACGGTATATAAGAACGACATATTATTATTATTATTAGAATGTTAATGAATAGAGATATTATATAGTATGGTGCAGATGGGTTGGGAATATGTCAGTGGGGTAAGATCGGATGGTGCTGAGAATATGGATGAGATGGTAAAAAGAGGTAGGGGATCGTAGGCTGCATATGGGTTGGGGTATGTTGATGTACTGTACTTTAGAAGGGAATATTACCATTGTTCATGAAATAAGTAGAAATGAAAATTTATTGTCTTCATTTTAATTTTTGTTTTAGATGGGTCCGTTCCAAAAATCAACAATTGCGTGAACAGCAGTCACTCAGCAGGGCACAAGCTCTGTCAACAAAACAACAAGCACAGAGGTCAAGGAAGTCGCGAACTTTGGCCAAAGCTCTTCAAGTCGCTCAAACCTACAGATACACAGACTATTATGGTTACAGATTTTAAATGAAATGAACTTTCAGTCATTCAAATTTTATTCAGAAGGATGAGTTTGATTATGGGAAAAATTTTTCTTGAGATTCCATCAAATAAGTACAGTTAATCCTACATTCAATTCTATCGATTAACACTTTAGGAAGAGGAGAAAAAAATCACTCGTTATTAGAATTAGAAGAATTGTTTTTTTGGTTAAGCACAAACAATACGCTTAAAGTGATCACTGGCGCTAATTCAAGTTAACATAGCAAACATTGAAAAGTAACATTATAGTATGTCTGAACTTAAAATTGGTTAAATAGCTATTAAAAGATTATTTATTTATATTGATGAATTTATCAAAATTAATATCTCTTTTTTGTATGTTTTGTTGCATATTCCGTCCAAAGCATAAATTGTGTGCATTTTTGTTTATTCCAAAGAGAATGTGTCCCATTTGCTAACAGAGAAATAAGGATACAGTAGATGAGACCGGGCCATGTCCCGGTCCAGTGTTTTAAATATTAATAGGCCACAGGTTTTCTTACATCTTACGATGAAATGCCCTTGTTTAGACATTTTAACTCTATTTTTATATCGTGAAAGTAATTTGAAACAAGGAAGGGTAGACACACTTATTCCATGATGATATTTCTCATTCTTTTTCAAAATTGTATGTACTATTCTATGATGATGTAATGATGTTTTTTAAGATGGGTATTCTTGCCAAAATAGATTAATTCTTCATGTTTGTACTGGAATGTATTTTGCCTGTATTTAAGCAAAGCAAAAGAATAGCTTTAGGTAAAAAGTCGTTAGTTTTAACAAACAGCAGTTGTCTCGCTCGCTTACACACTGGTGCCAAAACACTTAGTAAATTGATGATTTTTATACTTTTCATTTTTAAATAGATAAGAGTGTTCTTAACTTTCTGTTGAAAGACTACATTTCCTGTATTTTTGCATACACCCTTATATGGGGCAATTTTGAAGAATTTTTGAAATAGTGTATGAAGTTTTATTCTGTGTCTTATTGTAAGTCATGGATGAGTGAATAATTCTACTTGTAGGTTCCCGTCGTTGTGCAGTGTTGAAAGCACCTTATCGTAAGATGTTAACTTGTGATCTGCTTAAGGTTTGTTTCATAGACAGTATCTTTGTTTATAATCACTATTTTATGGACCGAGGCACAAAGCCCCGTCCCTTGGAAATTGCTGCCAAGGTCTAAAAAAACGACAGCGTAAACGTACGTAAACACGTGTGTTTGTCAGAATTGCTAGCTCTGCTCTGATTGGCCAGTTGTTACATTTTATTGACACTCCAGAAGGATCACTGTACTCTTTTGAAATTCAAGCACTCTGGAAGATGGATGAGATAAATTCTGATTTTTATGTAGCTGTTTTGCGTGCCTTTTCTTGTTATCTAAACGTAATGTAGCATGTAAGATTCTCAGGAATGAAGTTATACTACTGTGTGGTGGTGTATTTTACAGTACCTTGATCCCTTACAAAAGTTTACCTCAACCATTCTTGAATTTTGTATTTCGGCTATTGTTTTACAAATTTAGGAATCTTTTAACAATTATTAGTGTTTATTGTGTTTAATTGTGACAGTTATGCTACTCTAGCGTAACTGTATTCGTTATCGTTTTCATAAACTTGCGAAAACTCCCTAGTATTCTAGTCTAGTGGTTTTGTAGCAGGGGTGACAATGCACTACATGAAAATTGCTTTTATGCCTTCCATTTTTTTGCATAAACTAAGTTAAGCAAGTACTAACCGCATTGGTGTGACATTACAGTATATAGATCTTGGGAACGTTATAATCAGTACTGTACTTAAATCATGTTTATCTCGTGCATTAAGCCAAAAGAACTTTTTGTTGCCCTAAACCTGATTGACCAAACCTTTAAAAAAAATTGAGTCCGACTTTTTGTAATGCATTATTACCATGGAGACTATAAAACTTGTTTTGTACTTTGGCAACACAACTATTTTTGGCCTAATTTTTTGCTCTTGTATTTGTCCGTCCACGCATGTTCAAATTAGGCGTGAGCCCTACGATTGTCCATGTAGTATTGTGCGTTTACTGAGAGATGTAATTAATGATTAAGAGGATATAGTAAAGAACGATTTGTTAGCAGGAAATATTTGAAGGTGTTTTTGTTTTCTAACCATTGAGTTATAATATTTTTATTATTATAACTCTTTGGTAATGTCTAAGTCATTACAAACCAACTTACTGAATGTTTATAACTTATCAGATTTTCTATTGAAAGTGACTAATTTGCGAAGGTCATACTATTTTTTTTTCTAAACACGGCAGATGTATATACTGTATAACAAATTAAAAATGTGCAGTGTTTAAACCTTCGGCATATTATCCAAATGACGGTACCACTATGATTATTATACTTTTCCAGTATTTAGTGCAATACAGGGAATTGCAGTACAATCGTATGACATTCATCTTGCCCCTGTGAATTCTACATCTCCCCTCCCATATGTACGATCATAATGGCCCTGTCCATGCCGATTCCCTAAGGGAACCATTACTACTCTCTAGGAGAGCCATAATTTCTAGTCAATTAGGGATTTTTAATCAAGGGGATGCTTCTCCATTTATGCTAAAACAAGATACGTCTGTCGTTTCATTGGGTATGTGGAAGTCGGATCTGCCTTTTCTATATATTCACGTATTAATACAGAATGTCAATAATACTGGCATTCTGTCATTCTATTACCGGTATACTTTTAAATAATACATGAGATACACCGCAAACATGTTACTCGAATCAGAAAGTAAAAGTAACAATGAAAACAATCTTGTTACGTTTTGATAATAAAAATGAACTTTGTGTTTGCGTTATATCGTATAAGAAAGTATAATACATACTCAAAGTATTGAAATACACGCCATCGTGTTGGGATTCAATATTTCGACATTAATTATGTCATCATCAGGAATATATCGTATACGTCACGAACAAAGTGTATTTAAGTTCGAATCAGTTACTCATATCAGAAGTGAAAGTACATTTAACAAATCATATACAAAGTACACTAACACTTTATTACAATGTTCTATTAGTTTAGTTCAACAACACTAATCTTGATTAGCTCCGACAATGGTCAGTTTTTTTTTCGGATTTCTAAGCCCAGTTTCCTTAAAATCGCTACAGCGTTTTCAGTGCCATCGAGTGCGTAGCAGTCCTCGACGCAATCGGGAAGGCTCTCCGATTCGACCGACCAATCAGCATCACCAGAAGCAGTTGGCGTGTAGCGATTGTATGGAAACAAAGCCTTGCAAAACACTGCAACACTTTATGGGATTAACCATCAGCTAAGACTTAGTTGGCAATGGTTATTCCCAGAGTTCAGCTCAGGTGTCTCACGGTCAGACAGACAGGCCCATTTCCAGTGGGTTGTGGTGGGTGCCTACGCCACCAGCACCCCCAATCGAAAAAAGGTGCAAATTTTTAAGACTGAGTCGGAAATGTACTGAATTCAAAAATTTATAGGGAATCAAAAATCAGTCATACCAAAGCTGCCATCCAGTTGGCTCTCATTGACGCTTTCATGGTTCTTAGCGACCCCTATATCCCAATTGGTCCATTTTCCAATACCCCTATGCTCTAAAATACCAAGACACACTGCTATCTATGGATAAAAGAAGAGAGCTAATCACAAGAATTAACATCACAACATTCTTAATCTTGCTCCTTTTATGTCATCGTTGAACACGACGGACAGTTATAGAGGACATACAGTCAATTTTTTCAAGGGCATCAATAAATTTAGCATTATATTATTTGGGCCTATATCCATAGTTGAGGTGAGATGATTTTATATAGCGTATGTATATAGCGCTGTCTCTTATACACATCTAGATGTGTATAAGAGACAGGAATACTGCACTGATGAGGCCTGGAAGGCCGAAACGGATCTGTCTGCAGATATTGGGATTCCTTCCAGTGGATGCTTAGTTTATTTTGTCATTCCGATCGGATTTTCTCTACTGTTCCGTTTTAATTTTAAATAGTTTTGCATTATGTGGCCATTTGCTGTTTTATGGGTTTTCCCATTTGCCTTTTAAAATATATATATATATACAACATACAGAAGTGTAGGTTAATACTGTTGTATGGTGAATTATTCGGAAAATTCAACGGTGCTCATACTACGACCAGTGCATCTATCGTGATTTGCCTGCTCTATTAGTACCCTTCGTTCCTTTATTTCCTTGGGAGGTGTTACGCTTTGTAGGTGGTGTGTTCACGTTTTTCCCAAGCTTGGCGTCCTCCGGGAGGGATTGAAGTCGTCCGTAGCCACGAATAGTTTTCCCAGTCCGGCGTTCATATTGCACTGCAAGTCGTCCTTGAAGTATAAGAAAAACTCAATCAATAAATTCAAATACAAATTATCAATAACCTTTGTGTTAAACCTACTTAAATACTTTTATGCTCCTAAGACATGTGAGCTACAGTATATTGTTTATTTGGCTTTTAATTTCCAAAGATGTAGGCCTACCCTGAATATAGTCCAATTCTAGGCGGGTATGGTATTGTTAATATTCAGTTGGAAATAATTGTAGCAAACACTTGTACATTTTTTTGACATGGAACATTCACGTTTTCTGATGCCAAACGATATACAAAGATCCCTATATAGTCACTGTTGTACAATTGAATCCCGCCAGTAGCGCGAAGCCAGCATGGGGTCTAAAGGGGCACTGGACCCCCCACTACCCCACCCCCACCGGTCGGGGAAGAAGCCCATCATTGAAACTGCATTTTTACAATCTAAGAGCGCCAATTCCGGGCAGAGGTGCCGATTCTCAACTATAGTGAGGTTCGGGTGATGTGGACCCGGGGAACTTGAATCTCGTAACTTCGACCGCTGTCTGAGACCTTGGACCCTTCGTCGTCCCGTCTCCTGGTCATATCCTTTAAAATGATGTGAACATGGATGATGCTATACTCGGGGTCGGTTGCACTCTATACGTAATGCTCACAGTGAATTTATGGTCTGCAGACCGAATTCCTTAAACGGGGGTCGAATCCAGTAATTATGGACTTCTAGGCCTTGTTTTAAGCAATTCTCCACCCCCCTCCCCTTCTTCACGGTAAAACAATTGAAATTGTTCATTCCACCATATATCGAGGCATAATAATCTCGAACAATCTTAAATGGCACACTCAAATATACTCCCTTTACAAATCGGCTGTTCGTAATACATCTATCCTCAAGTTCACTCTCGACCCTAAATCCATTGTCCATTTCTACCAGTCATATATCCAACCCTCTATTGAATATTCTTGCTCTTCTTATGGCCTTCTTCCAAACTGTGAAATGTCCCTTTTCCGATATGTTGAACTTCTCTTTGCCGAACTTCTCTTATCTCTTCCGACTGTACCTCTACCGCATATCCTACTGCTTTCTCTCAGTTCAATATCACACTATTTGAAACTCGACAAAAGTACTTCCTTCTGAAATTTATTTGTAATGTAGTTCAATCTAGGACTAATAATCATCCCTCAGCCCCTGTCCAGGGCGGATTTAGCGCCCCTTTTGGAAAGTTAAAAAAAAAAAGAAAGAAAGACAAAGAAATAATTGATCGCCTAAAATGCCTCATGTTATTTTCGGGCGTTTTAGAAATCAACAATTTCGTGGGGAATGCCCCCGGACCTCCTAGGATAGTGCTGTTTCGATCGACCCCACTTTCACCCCCCCCCCCATTCGGACATCTCTGGATCCGTCCTTCTTTCTACATCTAGGCCTATCGGACTTATGGCAATGTATCTACGCGATGGCAGACAATCTTTTCGCCTTTCTTTCCAAGCTTCCAAGCAAGAACCTCTCGACTCCTTCACTTTATACTACCCCAATCACTTACTCTCATTTATAACTTAAATCTCAGCAAATTTTCTTCCCACACGACCGATAAAGGGCACGTACTTGAAATGCAAACGCCCGTAATCCTCTTTTAATTTCCTGGGTATGAGGGCGACCAATTTTTGCCTTACGGATCTTGGACAACCCTTCCCGTAGATGAGTCCTTGCACCAATTTTTTGCTATAAGTTTTGTACTATTGTTTTTGTGTGTATTGACTTCATTGTCATGTTATGTATTTTAAAAGCGAATATTTTCCCACGATGACATCAATTGTAAAACATGAATTACTGCCCTACGTCACTTACTCATAAAATCTGGATTCTCTTGATTCATATCTGGAACAAGTGGAACATATGGTTTTAATGAACCATCGGCATAACCTATGAATATAGAATACATTCTATTCATTTTTCACAAATACGACATTTTTATTGAAATTTTCATCATCAGAATCAGCCTATTGATTGTTTGAATTGGATCTATCCAACAATTCATTATCTTCACTCGATAGCACGGTAGAGGCAAATAATACAAATATTTTGATTAATTTTTGTTTGTATTTACTGTATGTATTGACCGTATTTTCTCTTGTTCATGTATTTGTGGAATGCAAAATAAATAAAATGCAGCCATTAAATAACAGGCTACTGGTGATGCAGTTTGTATTTTAGTATCTGTTAGCGCCAGGCTTACGTTCTAGTTTTATTGGAATGTACATCGTTTTCGTTGACAGTATACTAGATGCTCGCTTCTTTGGATGGTAATCATTCAAATTAATCAGCATTCCGTCCTCGTCTGCTAAATCCAAGAACACTGCAAAAGTATTAAGAAAAAAATATATTTATTGTTTTTTCTTGCTTTTGTTTTTGGCGAGTGTTTAATTTTACGATTTAATGTTGCATATAAAATGTTGTTTATCCATATTTATGCTATTTTTATACACTTTATGTTTTTACACCGGAAATAACTTATTTTTAAAAATAATTGTTGTACCAATAAAATTAAAATGATAATTGTTCTTTACCCTTCGGGTCATGTTCATTACACATACGTTTCATGTAGCTCAATAGGTTTGCCACCATACAATCTGGATTAGCAACAAACGCTCCACTTGCTGTAAAATACAATTTATACTGTATACTGTAATTATTTACGTTAATATAAGCATGGAGGTATTATTGAGTATATAACTCTTTCTATATACAATTACAAGTTAATGTATAGAATAAACATACGTTATTTGCATATTTGATATAAGAAATGAAAATTTAAAATTTATTCCTAAGCCTTCTATAATAGATTATCTTCTGATGAAAGGAACCAAAATATGCCAAGTAGTACACTGTTCTGTACTACTAGTACTGTAACTAGCCACTGTTAGCCTATGTAAAAAAAATAAATTGGTTACCATCCCCTCCCACCATCAGAGAGGCCACCGACCCGATTTTTTTTTTACAAAACACTCACAAATTCCATTTAATATAGGTGTGCAGTTCTATGCTGTACTGCTGTTCTATATTGTAGCCACATGACATCCATGATGATGTTGTGCTGAAGTGAATTGTTCGTGATTAGGCCTATGCAGAGATAATTGCATTATGACTTATTCATAGGTAAAGTTTCTGCTTGCTGTAGATGAATTACATAATTTCTTGTATGCAATTTTGGTCTCTGTTATTTTCTGCTTCTATCTTTATCTGTTTTTCTATGCTACACTCTTTTTTTCATATTCGACGCGAGAAAAAAAAAACTCGCTCCCTCCCTAATTATAATAAAAATTCACAACGTTAAATGATGCTAACCAATTTTTACATTTTACATGGCCATAATTCGATTTATACAAAAAGGCCCATGATTCTATTTAAATGTAAATTAAAATGCAAACATCATGATGTCAAATTAAATAAAATAAATATGCCCAGGCCTTACTTACATTTGTAGGCCAAACATAGGCCTAGGTCTATTTCTACTACGGGGCATAGCCTAGGCCTAGCCTTTATTATAAATTAAAATAAAAAGTGATGCTTCTTCTTCTTAAATAATAATTAGATCTTTAGTTAATTCTAGTAGTAGACTATTATTAGTAGTAGGGACGTAGTTTAGCCTAGGGTAGGCTTATTTCAGACTTGGCCTAGGCCAAAAACGAAAGAGGCATTAGCCCTAGCCTAGCTAGGTGGCCTATCTAGGCCTTGTCAAGGCGGTCTAGACTGCCGCACCTGTGCCCTGTATTATGCCATAGCAAAAAAAAAAAAAGAAAAAACCCAAGCAACCACTACTATTAATCTAGAGAGAGGACAAGAACTGAAAACGTACCTCCGAAGCGGATAGCTATAAAACCCATCTTCAGCAGTGTTTTGTCTGTGTTATACAAATATAATTAATGTGAAATTAATAATATTATATATGCATCAAAAGTGCCTAGGAGGGCCTAGCCTACGTACGAAAGAATACAAAAACAGAAGGACCTGTAATATTATCGCGTTTTTAGGCGCGTGGTACGCAGTGCGCTGCGCACCACCACCTCAAGTAGTAGTGTGTGGATGAGATGTTATAATCGTATAAAGCATAGCAAATCAACGAAAAGTTACATTTGTTCAGTTACAGTATATGAAAAAAGTGTCGCCGGACGGGATTCGAACCTGCAAACTCTTGCTATCAGGGCGAGTGTAATATCCATTAGACCACGAAGACCTGTAGGATATTAGGCTGACCAAAACCTGGTGTTGTTGTTTTTTTATATATGTATGTATAGCAGTGTATATATATATATATCTGTCTCTTATACACATCTCCCTACGTCACTTACTCATAAAATCTGGATTCTCTTGATTCATATCTGGAACAAGTGGAACATATGGTTTTAATGAACCATCGGCATAACCTATGAATATAGAATACATTCTATTCATTTTTCACAAATACGACATTTTTATTGAAATTTTCATCATCAGAATCAGCCTATTGATTGTTTGAATTGGATCTATCCAACAATTCATTATCTTCACTCGATAGCACGGTAGAGGCAAATAATACAAATATTTTGATTAATCTCGGTTATTGAAATAATGATCCACACTTGTAGAAACAATAAATTAGACTTACCGGTACCATAGCGCACTGCATTCGATATACCGGTGAACTCTCCAGCAAAAAGGTAATTGATAGACTTTGATACTGAGGCCTAGGTCTATACAAATACTTTTGACCGTCTTCATATTTACTTGAATTGTAAATCATAAATAAAACAAACGAAAAACGTAACAACAGGCCGAGATTAGAGTGACATATTGGGGTCAACGCAACGCTTACACACTTTACCATCACACATCCATTACAGTATACACAGACATTGGGGAATTTTGATCAGTGATGTTTTTTTTTTTTTTTTTTTTTTTTTTTTTTTTTTTTTTTTTCATTTGCTTCTCTAAAGCATTTTTTTTTTTCATTTTCTTATATTTATTTTTGTTTAATTTTTGCAAGGGATTGTTTTTCTGGGGATAATTTTTATACTGCAGGGCTTTAAAACCGCAGACATTACCGATGATAATAATGATGGTGATAATGATAATAGATAATAATGTTAATAATATTTGAAGTGAAGATAATTGTGCTAAATCCAAAAAGGAAATTTGTAATTTGTCCAATCATTATAATTATTAATAGTAGTTAAAGCCTAGTCAGATGACATTAAACTCTATCCAGCCGGCACCTCACCCAGAGTATGTCTTAGTGGCTACTGAGGGGAGGGTGTACAAATTTGTTTTCAGGATGTGATCTGGTTTTTCATGAACATTCTTTGTGATTACAGTGGCGTGTCCAAGGGGTGCTCGGGATTCCTGAGGTTGGAAAAAAAAATAACAGTGCCCGTTTTTAAATGTTAGAATAATTTTTGTGAATTTTTTATTATTAAAAAATAAATAAATAAAAAAAAAATGATACCACTTTTTCTCTGTCGACGCAATGTTGCTCCTTTTGCAGTGCACGGTAGTGGAGCCCTGGGCTTATCCCGGGTTGGAAGGTGCTGATGCTCAACATACTACCTTTGAGTATCTGCGCATACTTATATGGGGAGCAACACTGCCTCGTTGGGATAATTTGGTATGCGGATTCTGCTTAAAATTTTTCTGGAATTAATTTGGATTTTCACCGAGGCGTATAGACTACCTTGATGTTTCTCTGTTGAATTTATATTACTCACAAAACAAATATTTAAAAAGATTTAAAAAAAACTAAACACATGATACCACTTTTCTCTGTCGACGCAATGCGGCTCCTGTTGTAGTGCACGGTAGTGGAGCCCGGGCTTATCCTGGGGTGGAAGGTGCTGATGCTCAACATACTGCCTTTGGGTATCAGCGTATACTTATATGGGGAGTTACATTGCCTCGATGGGATAATTGGTATTTGGATTTTGCTGAAAATTCTTCTGGGAATTATTTGGATCTTGTTGGTTTAATTGTCTATGCGCCTTGAGCACCTTTGGTGGAGATGTGCGCTTTATAAATCTGTATTAATATTATTATTATTATTATTATTATTATTATTATTATTATTATTATTATTATTATTATTATTATTATTATTATTTTAATATTTATGTGCCATTTCCGGCATATAAAAGTCTCAAATTCTAATAATTGTCTTACCTCAGCCTAAACCATGGTGGGCTAAGTGGGTAGGTGGATGTGGTATTTTTTCTGTAATTTTAAATAGGCATAATATACAAGTACCATTTTTGGGCACCTATTTAATTAATTTGTTTTTTTAATCAATCTGTCGAAAAAAGAAAGAATTGAAATTTAAATGAAGTTCCATTTCCGGGCATAGAGGTACAAACTACTGTGAGGCTAAACGTGTTGTTGACTTTCACTTTCATCGGCACCCCCTTCTTTAAAACCTGGATACGCCACTGGATTATGACCATATTGAATAAAGAATGTTTTGAGTTATAGGCCTAATTATTGTTAAGCCTACAAATATCATTTATGATGCATCTATTAAAATTTTCACTTTCTTTGTAAAATGTCCCAATCCCTCAAAACTGTCCTAAAACATTGAGAATGCGCTACCTCCCAGGTGTCTTCTCCCCTGGACTCCCACCGGGACCCTTGGCGGCCCCAGCCATAGCGAGGGGGACACCTTTTCCAAAACCCACCCCTTCGTACCAGTAGTGGCGCCAGGACCTGCCCGACGGAGGGGCTAGTGGAGCGAATCGAGTCTCACTTGGCTGGGGCCAGGGGGTCGCCTAGGGCCCCGGTGGGGGTCCAGGGGTATTTGATGAATTATGGCGAATTTTTATTACTTATTTGATAGGCATCGAGTTACTATAATATGACTTCATGTAGGCTATGCTTTCTAATGTTGAAGCTTCCAAAACCAAAACATTTTGAATAAAGCAAAAAACAAAGAGTATGCAATGTAACCATCTAATTTATTTTCAAATCCTCATTCTTGAAAGTGAAATTCTATATTTTGGAAATTTTGCATTAAATCTGTCAAACATGCTGTCATGGTCGAGGTTGCTTCACCTATCACGATGTATTCCAACCATCATGAGGCTATCTAAATGATCATTTGTCATAACAGAACGCAAATTATTTTTAATTAGTCTCATTGAATTATTATTATTATTATTATTATTTATTATTATTATTATTATTATTATTATTGTTATCGTTGTTGTTGTGATGAAGAGTTAACACAAACAATATGGTGGCTAAACGAATATTACATGTAATTTTTTTTTCTATTTGTTTGCTCCCCGACAGAATATATCGTCTTCCCCGACGCCCCCCCCCCCCCCGCCCCCCCCCTCCCCCCCCGCCCCCCCCCCACCGCAAGACGGCTTCCCCCTACCCCTTTCAAAATCCTGGCTACGTCCCTGAAACTGATTGCTTTAAATACTGTAAGGCCTATCTGTCGCTGTGCATTGCGCTTGTGTCCTTGAGCAAAACACTTTATTTACATTGCTTCTCTCCACCCAGGAGTATAAATGGGTACCTGGTGGGATTGCCTGCTCCTGCGCTGATTATAGCAGCAATACTTAAGTATGTAGATCCAATGACATGACCGGTGTCAGAAGCGCTTCGTATCTGCAAAGAAAGCCGCTATCTGACTATTATTATTAATATTAGGCAAACCAGTTTATTGAAGGAGTCATTTAAGGAACGGTGTATGAATTTCTATATAATAAACTGGATTGAAGATTACTCTGTTTTGTGTGACACTAAGTTTGGAACTTAGTGCTGTTGGGTTAATCACGCTGTTATAACTTTAAAAAGTATTCAAATTTTGGCATCCTTTAATTCTTTGGATGTTATTTTTAGATATTCAAAGTAAAACACATCAAGGATGACCCATGGAAGTTAAAAGAAAATCATGTGGGGTCACCTGGTGGTAAATAGAATACACAGGGTGATGGCGCTTCGTTCGCTTATCTTCTAGTATGTGAACGTCGCGATTATTTTCGATAAAAAGAACAATATGACCACTAAAACATAGGTTGCATGTTTTGATAACAGTTTCATTTTCCTTATAACATAAAAATATTTAAAAATCACTAAAATGAGATCAAACAGCAGCAGTGTAAATTGAAAATCCATCATTTTCCTTGGAAAACGTTTTTGATTGAACTAAAATTAATAAGTTCTACTGTGCTTTCATATAAGTTGAGTAGTCATACCGGTATTAAATATAGTATGAAACAGAGATTTAATAAAGTAGGACGAAACTTTATTTTAGACATTAATTTTGTTTAATGATGTAGACTGTGTGGAAATTTAACTAGAGCCTTTGCCCTTCTCCCCTTTTAATATAAAGATTGTGATGACGATCTATTAATTGAAATGTGTAATGTCATTATAATATTTCATGTACAAAACCAACAATTCGAATGACAATGGTTAACTACTCAATATTTTATTGCACAGTGTCTTTTCCATAAGGTGGTACTTCCTTGATCATTAAATTGTACAGTATTGCGTATTTTAACACACCTAAATAGATCCTTAAGTTGTCATTTGATTGGATTTCGTACCGTATCATTACGTGTCATTGGTTATTTACACCATTATATCCTCATCATGAATATTTAGTTCCATCCAGGGATGAGTAAAATTACAATAACAGTAATTTCACTGTTCCCTGGTTCCATCCGTGCATTTGTTTAGTTCCATTTTATACCGCCACATAATACAATGTTTTCATTAGTTGATTGGACTGCTCCATTCTAAAGGAAGGTATTTTTGGTTTTTAAAATAAAGTATCAAATATTGTTGCAAAATTAGAACTGAACGGTTTAAAGCTGATTGTTTTTGATTACTAAATTGTTGCAAGTTGTTTGTGGTGTGTTGATTGGAAGAAAGTTAGGCCTAGCTTTAATAAAAAAAATCAAATGACAAGGATCTAATGAATTTTTGTATTTGTGTAATGATAAAAATATTTTCAAGAGTTGAATTTTTTTCTTTATCATGTCCCCTCTAACTAAGTCTTCGTAGCATACAAACGATTCATGAGAACAGATATTGGCTATGTTCTCACACTACTGCTAACGGTTAGCAGGATCCGGATCCTGCTAACCGTTAGCTGCCGTGCGTCCATACGAGAAAATCCCGGATACCAAAAATATGATGATCGAATCACTGGCGAATAAGAAACTGGAAATTGTAAACGCGTACGTGTGATTGGTTGATGATGGAAACGCACTCAACTTGCTAACCGATAACGCTTGCTAACCGTTAGCGGTATCCGGATACTGCTAACGGTTAGCGCTGACCGATCGGGCATTCTCACGCAAGTGCTAACGGTTAGCGCTAACGGTTAGCTCCCGATCTGGATACTAGGGCTCTCGTGAGAACCACCAGGCTAAGGTGATGAAGCAGACGATTACCAAAAAGACCACCAAACCAGTAATTGACCAGAGTTTCGATAAATTAACAGCATTATCTCCACGGTCCGACGGCCCTGAAAAGAAATAATAGACCTGTCAAACAAATAAATACGGTCGAGGAATGTAATCGAACTTAACTGTAATTTTTTTTAACTTTTATCCAGTATACCACTGAATGATGGTAGCAAATAAAAGGAGTCCTATAAATTGTTAGGATAGGCCGAGCTGATTATGCCAAGCCGTTCAAGCCG